CATTCAACCCCACTGACTATAGCCCGAGCCCCACACCTTCTAACAGTTGCTTCAGCCACCGTGCTAGCTCTAGGATTCTATCATCAAATTCAAAACATTTCTCTGTTAAAATATTATTTTAAATGTTCAGGTTGCTTCCAGGTCAGCATGTTTCCTTTTGCAGGGTTTCACTACATATTTCCTTTTCCTTCATCTCCCAGAAGATAGCCTATAAGGATTGCATCTGTAAGAACACTGAAAGTATAAATAGGCGCTAAGGCCCCAATGAGGTCACCTAGGATCCAGTTCCTCTGGAAGTTTTCTAGTAAGCATGACGAAAGTCAACTAAATAGGATGTCACCCAGATTTCAGTAAACAAGAAAAGTAAAAAGAAAGAAGAAAAAAACGTTCAGGTCTTGAGCTTACCAGTCAAGGCTAAGTTCTGAGGCCCACACTTTAGTAGGTTAATGGATACTCAGGCTACTTGGGATTGGTAGTAGTCACAAAACAGAAGCAACAGAAATTAATGAGCACATCCCATGACCATTAACAGCAGACCTCTACATCCCCTACATGAGACCCAACATAGAGCCACAGACCCAAACTGGCAAACAGAGCATGGCTATTTCCATAGAGGGGACTTTGGGACAGTCTCTTCATGTAATACATAACTCACATGCTGAAAGATTCCTGGACACCAGAGTGACATGGGATATGCACCTTCGAGATTGTCACAGCTGATTTTGTGACACAGAGGGGCTGCATGCTCATGTGCTAAGCATGTCTGTGTTTGTGAATATACATCTGTGTATACACATACAGGCGCACACACATCCATACATCATCTATGTCACTAAAATATTATTTCTGCTCAATAGCTGAGCAAATGTTTTATGGCTCATTGGAAAAATTCGGAATGAATCCTTCTGTCTTCTCTTATTGAATAGCATTACTGATTACTGCTTTCCAATTTTAAATCATTTGAAATGAGGATAGCATATGCTAAAATAAATCTGTTCTTTTAAAAATTTAAGTGGAAATATCATTTTAATTTGGTTCTCTGAGGCAGGATTTAGTCTTCCCGTGAGAACTCACTAAATTTGAACCCAACTACCCTCATCCTTTCTGCTTTCTTCTCTTGGTCTCTCTGTGTGGGAGGAGTGAGAGGAGGCCAGGATGGATTCAGATGTCCCCAAAACAGCTCCGTCCCATCTGAGTGGCCTCCGAGGCACTTGAGTAAATATATCCCATTCACATTAACAAACATGCTATTTCCAAACATTCTGGGGCAGATTATACTGTACTTAAAAAGAGATTAAAGGCTGGAGAGAAGGCTCAGATGGTGAAGCACTTGGCATGCAAACTTGAATTTGGATCCCAGACTCATGGTAAAGCCAGACACAGACATGTAAGCACCTGTGATCTGAGCACACCTTGTAAGGAGGTGAGTGGGGACAGAATGTCTGGAAGCTCATGGGTCATCTATCCTAGCATACATATGCAGCAGTGAACAAGAGACCCTGATCTCAAACAAGATGGTCCTCTGACCTTTACACATACCATGTACATACCCCCAACACGTGCCCCCAACACGTGCCATATGTATACCACCCCACACACACCATGCATGTAAACCTCCAATCTACATACCATAGCATGTACATAACACCCACGCCTGCAAACAAACAAACAAACAAACAAAAACATATAAAATCATCCAGCATCTCCAAGGAGAAAGAGCAATTGTGTTCTGAAAGTCTCCTTTCTCTTTTACTCCAGTGCATCCTCACTGTAGCCTTTAAAAACTAAGCTCCAAGCAACTCATTACGCATATCATCTTTTTCACAATGGTTTTCAGAAAATTTGGAGAACCATACCAACAATTGGAAAAGATGGAAAATAATTGATTTTCTACCTTTTTCATTTTTAAATCAATTTGTGGTGATTCTCAGCATGGGGAAGTTATTTCTCCCCCTCCCCCACCACATGAATGTTTCCCAAATTTCAGGGCGGGTAGAAGAGGGTACCCTCTCCAGGCTTATTGAGAAGAAATTGATTCTTCATTGTGGCAGTCCACACACTTTCTAAGAAAGCTGGAAGCACATAGAGGAATACTTCCTGAGCCAAGACACACAGGGGTGGGCCTAGGCCCTATCCCAAAGGATACGATAGACTCTGATGACACCCTATGGAAGGCCTCACCATCCAGGGGGAGCAGAAAGGATATGTGATAGGTAGGGTTTTAGTTAGGGGGGGGGGTGGGAGAGGAGGGGAGGGAGAGGGAACTGGGATTGACATGTAAAACAATCTTGTTTCTAATTCAAATAAAAAAGTCTGCAGAAACAAAACAAAACAGAACAAAACAAAAAGAAAAAAGAAAGCTGGAAGCTGGTCCTAAGCCTCATATCACCGCCTTTTGGTCCCCAAAATCCTGATGATTCCAAGAAGGGAAGGGGAGCACAGCCAATAAGCCAGCAACAAACCAATGGTTAAACCATAAGCAGGACACTTTCTCTCTGAGGACAATTGCAGCAGGTTTCTCCCACAGCTCCCATGGCTCCCCATCTGCCTGTTCCAACAGCAAGAAGAAACAGAAAGACAATGAGCGACTGAGTTCTGCGGTCTTCACCATGAACTGTTTGTTTGTTTTGGAGTAGTTTTGAGAAAGTGTCTAACTTTGTAGTCCAGGCAGGTCTTGACTTGTGGTCATCTCCCTGCCTCAGCCTCCCAAGTGATGTGACCACAGGTGTGTGACCACCATACCCTTCTGCATGGAGCTTAAAAATGATATATAATGAAGGAATAAGACACACTTTTATCCTGTTTTACCGTTTGTGTTGGGCTAATTAAGATTATTGTCATCAGACTTTAAAACAGCATTCATAAGCATGTTGCATGTGAGAATGTGTGGTATGTGAGCATGTGTGTGTGTGTGAGAGCGAGAGAGAGAGAGAGAGAGAGAGAGAGAGAGAGAGAGAGAGAGAGAGAGAGAGAGAGAGAGAGAGAGAGCGCGCATGTGTATATGTGAACATGCTTATGTGTACATATATAATTTTAAAATGTGAGACTTTGGCCTCCACCCATTTTTCTTTTTTCTCATCCACTCCTATACCACTCTTCATGGACTTCCTGGGGTCAGTTTTGTGACATTCTTAGAGTCAGGAACAGGCCACTAGGAAAAGGAGGAAAGGACCTACTGATTGCAATACAAGGAAAGTGGCCTCTGGAGTCAAAGCTGCCTTTGTACTTCAGCTGACAGCAATGTCCCTCTCCCACAAAAGAACCCGGGTCAAGAATGGTCAAGCTTTCTCAGGCTCTAAAGGTCCAGAATCCCACCAGGAGCTTATGCATCGTGCATAACCCCACCCTGTTCAACCACTGACATTCCCATGCATGCCAAGATGTGGTGAAATAAGAGAAAATCGCACAGAATCCAGGAAAGTTCTTTCTCGTAAGTTGGCTGAACCCTGGGCACCTGATCCCTGGTTAGAACTAAACAGAAGCAAGCAGTCTCAAACTTATGTCCTATGCCCGGAAAAGACCAGTGAGCATTAATGCCATACCTAGCAAGGGAGGAGACTATATTTAAAGGAGACTGAATTATGAGATGCTAATTTGGGGTAGAACTATTTCTTTTAGGAGCAGATATTGCTCAGAATGTTCACGGGGAGGAGGACTCCCTTTGCCTGCTCTGAACCTGTCTAGCTTGCCTGAGCATTAACCCTTGACCAAATGTTCACATTGACCAAGACTTTTTAGATTCCTAGTTTCACAAAATCTTCTCCCCGGGAGTAACAAAACTATGTGATATCTCTACATGATGAGATAAGAGACTCTCCTTAAAAGAAAAAAAAAAAAAGAAAAAGAAAGAAAGAAAAAAAGAAAATGAGTTTGAGGAGATGACCTTTAAAGAGAGAGCTCTCACTAAATAAAAATTCAAAGTGTCCCCAAATAGCTATGTTTTCACATATTGTCCCCAAAGACACTCGCCTTTTCTGAGTTCAAGAGGGGCTTCCTTTCTTGGCCTTAATGCTGTCAAAAAGTGACCTAAGGACAACCTAGACCCAGAAGGGAAACGGCATATGCTGTCAATTAACAGAGCCAGCACCAACTGCTGTGCTGACCTGGTAGAGTATCCCAGGGTCTGCTTTAGAGACCTCCTGATGTGAAGGGAGCATCAAGGGACAGACAGTCCTTCAGACCCTCTAGGAAGAGAGCCACAGCACCCTCAGCAGTCAGGCATCCATTCCCCATGCATGCCAGAAGGAAAGCCCTTGGGGCAGGGGCAGCTCCTCTTCTGTAGGACTCCAAGCAAGCCTAAGTGTTCCCACTGCCCTGTAAGTCAGCCAGGCTCACCTGCCTCCTGGCACCTCCTCATCATTCTGGGCAGTGTGCTCTCTCTGCCCTCAGGAACACAGCCTCTCCCTGCCTCCACTGACACTCTGAGGAAGAGGACAAGCACAAGGCATGGGAAGGAAGCTGCTTACCAGGTGTGTTTGCTTTTGATCTGTCTTAGAGACACAGCAAAGTCTGTGACTTTGCAGGGTCTCAATCAGCCTGACCCATGTATGCTTGCTGTGTCCTCTCTCCCCCAATTACAAAGTAGTTGGGAATATTCCCAACTAACATAGGTTAAATGAGGCAGCCCCAAAGAGACAGACCTTTGTCCAAAGATGCTTGGGCAAGTCCACCTTGCTTCTCAGTTATTGATAAAGCCAGGGTAGCCTTTAAAATAGAGGGGGTGGGGCAGGGTGTGCTAACCCACACATCAACCTGGGGGTTAGAGCTCCAGACAGCCAATAGACCAGATTCTCTCTCTCTCTCTCTCTCTCTCTCTCTCTCTCTCTCTCTCTCTCTCTCTCTCTCTCACACACACACACCCACACACACCCACACACACACA